AGTAGAAACCGGCTGATTGGATGGACCTGTGTGTGTACACTGTGGTATGCTTTGAAGCGATAACATTTTGTAATTATTATTCTAAATTTACTCGCAACGAATGCTCCTGTCACGCAGAGAGCGGCATCGAAGCAACTGCATTCGACGTAATTAATGATGTGATTGCGGCTTTGCATGAAACATTAGTCGTGTCAACAAATTAACCATTATCGGTTGTTTGCCGCTGACTGCATGTGATGTATTTCCCGGCAAAAAATGCCAAGAATCAAGTGTGTTCCTATTTTTCCAACGATTTGTCACTTCATGAACAAATGCGGTAAATAGAATACTAAGCAGAATAGCAAAGCAGCAACGCTCTTAACCAATTTACTAAAAACTAAAGGTTTTTCATTTGAGTTTCGAATCGTTCTCTTAATGGCGGGAGATAAAAGTTAACAAATGATGTTTTGTTTAGGACAGCACAACAAATGTTTTTACAAAAAAGAAAAGAGTAAATTATTAATGAAAGCACATGATGATAGTCGTATCGGAAATAGAAAAACTAGACGTAGGTATGAAGATAAGATAAACATAATAATAATATATGATATCCGTAGGTATACCTGTTATAGACAACATGTGATCATTTGGACACTACTACGCATTATGCCCAGGAACGACTGCTTACCAAAAAGTACGGGGATCTTCCATATATTTCATATTTATTTATTCCCAAAAAGTTAAGAAACTGATTCTTATTTTATTTCTCACAGTTGGAGAAACATAGAAGAATAAAATATGGGATATTTTATCTTATTAAAGGTTTTCCTACACCGAAAGGGGTTGAACATTGCAACCCTTAATGATTTTTACTTCCATTTATACACATGCCCCACTTATAAACTTTTCAGCCTCTTGTATTTTCTCAGAAAGTTTTCCCTTTTTTATTGAAAAAATAAAATGTATTAAAAAAAACATTAAAAATAGCCAATGTACAGATTAGTTTTTAACTTGATTTGCAGGCTTAATTGATTTCGCATTCTTTCGCAGAAGACAAGAGTAACAAATAAAATAACTTTCTTTCGAAGAAATATTTAGGGGAGGTTAGGAGAATGGAGACATCGATTACACAGGCATACAAAAAAAGTCCAAACACAAGAGACCCATATATCATTTCCGGAGGAATTCGATGCACTGAACAAGATCCTGTAATCAAAGTGAACTTTTTGGGCGAAAACTAGACCAAATGTGGATCAAAACTAATTTTTTCCTATTTTTTTTCCAAATATATCATCTGCGTAGTATTTTGATGTACTGGATACAATGCCATTAGTAAAATATATAGACCAAATATGGGCCAAAACAATGGTTTTTCCTAAATTTTGTCCAAATATATCATTTGCGTAGTATTTTGAAACACTGAACACAATGCTTTTAGTAAAATGTACCCATTACCTCGATATTTCTCAGAAAATCGACTATTTGGGTGAAAACTGACCCAAATATGGGTCAAAACTGATTTTTTCCTAAGTTTTGTTCAAATCTGCCATTTTCGTAGTATTTTGAGGGGTTGAACACGATGTTATTAATAAAATTTGCCCATGACCTCCATATTTCTAAGAAAATCCACTATTTGGGTGAAAACTGAACCGAATATGGGCCAAAATTAATTTTTTCCTAAATTTTGTCCAAATATGTCATTTTCGTAGTATTTTGGGGCGCTGAACACGATGCCATTAATAAAATTTACCCATGACCTCGATATTTCTCAGAAAATCCACTATTTGGGTAAAAATTGGCCCAAAACTGATTTTTTCCTAAAATTTGTCCAAATATATCATTTGCGTAGAATTTTGAGGCGCTGAACATGATGGCATTAGTAAAATTTACCCATGACCTCGATATTTCTCAGAAAATCCACTACTTGGGTGAAAATTGGCCCAAATATGGGTCAAGATTAGTTTTTTTTCCTAAATTTTGTCCAAATATGTTATTTATGTAGTACTTTATGGTGCTGAACTCGATGGCATTAGTAAAATTTACTCATAACCTCGATATTTCTCATAAAATCCACTATTTGGCTGAAAACTAGCCCAAATATGGATCAAAACTGATTTTTTCCTAAATTTTTTCCAAATACAGCATGTCGCACTAGTGCGGGAAAGTCCAATATCTATGTTAAAATGAGGAATATATGGATTTTTCTTTTTACTGTGTTGCCACATTTCTCGGAATGTACACATTACAAATATATTCAACTGTACAGGGTGTTCCACTTTTCTTGGACAGACACCAACTTTGGTTTTTTAAATGGAAACACACATTTTTTATATTTTTTTTCGGATTGTACATCAAAAATAAAGGGTACTTTATGTAGAATAGTTCTATTCAAATATTCACAGTTTTTGAGATATCTCGCTTGAAAGTTTTTCTAGTCGATATTGGTTGCTTACATTTTCTGATACTGACAGGTTATACTAATAGCTACTAAGCCCATTTTTTTATCAGATGTTTAGTAAGGATGACTCTTCCGAATCGTGCTCCAAAAACTGGCCTGCGTTATACAGGGTGACCAAAATATCATGTCAAAATTGCCAATTGAAAAATTGAAAAATCTCGA